CGGATGCCATAGCTTTCAATGAAGCTGAAGGAGCAACAAAAATACAAAAATTAGATGAATAAGTTGCAAAGAAATTGCCTAGAGAGAAAAAAAAGGTTGCTACTGTTACTCAAAAAGCATAAAAATTGAAGTTTTTTTATATCATTTGATATGTCGTTTATATTGTTTTTTATAACGTTTATTTATTTTAAATAATTATTCAAAAAATTGACTGAAAATCAAATCAAAAATATTATGACAATATCTCAAAACAAAAATATTAAGACATTTTAATATCAGCACAATAACAACTGCCTTTTAGCATCAGCACAACAACAGCTGCTAATAAATTTAAAGGCTGGTAATTTCGTTAAAAAAGTGCACAAGATACTTTCTTCAAAAAATAGTAATAAAAACAAACAAAAATGAATGTGTCTGAATATGGAACATCAACGAACAAATCACAAATGGTCATCAGATAATTTGGTTGGATGAAACAAATTTTAACCTTTTTTTGTAGAAAAATGCTAGGATGCGCAGAAAAGAAGAGCAATAATGAAAATGCCTGCTTCAACAGGTGCAAACATACATTTGATTGCAGCTATATCAACAACAAATGTCATCATGATGGAAACTCACAGAGGATTATTTAATGCAGATTCTTGTAATGAGTAGATTTGGTTATGTTTGACCAGTGGGTTATATCCAGGAATCTTTTAGAGAATTTGGTCATTGTAACAGACAATGCTCCATTTCACACTTGTTGGAAAAGGGTGTCCTCCAGCTCAGTTAATACAATTAGGACCCTACAGTCCAATTTTAAACCCAGTGTTAAACAACCTGGTCTAAACTTAAAAGTAACGTTAAAAATGTGATTTGCATTCCATCTGTATTCGGTGCTGGGATTGTGGAACAACAAATGCAGTGTTTGGAAAGAATTGTTACTGTGGTTACTGTGTTACTGTGGCGAAAAATACAATAATAGGAGGTGATTGTGCACATCCTGCATCAAAAGTGATGAATTTACATTTGCGTGCATCGCAAATGCAAATTCATCACTTTTTTATTTATATATTTATTATTTTTATTGATAGCGTATTATTATTTATTAACAACCAACCTATGTGGAAACCTTGGCCAAATTAGGAACCTACTTTTAATTACAAAGTAAGTTAAGGCAACAAAATTAAAAATACAAAGAACTTTGTTCTGAGAATCTATATTATAAACTTTTCTTACTTACAACTATTATATTCTCAATTACATCTTACAATTTCTTATATACAACTTTCATGTTCTAAATTACATCTTACATTTCTTAGTTACATTTTGTACATTTGTACAAAATGTAATTTAAAAAATTACATTTTGTACTAATGCAATTTTCTAAATTACATTTTGAAAAAGTGAAAAAGATACAGAAGCTGGAGTGATACGAATGTTAAGCAATGGATCAACCATTGAGTAGAGTCAGACTTGACTTGGAATCATTGAGAGGGAATACAATATTCCATACCAGCCTGGATCCAAGAAGTTACATAAGCACATTTGTCAGCAGGAAAACTAAAGATTTCTAACCGAGGGCTATCACAAAGAAAATCCCGGAAAGAATCTTAAGTGAGAAACTGAGCATTAACTAAGATCAGAAACAAGATATATGTCAAGTAGGTAAATTATTCAGATTGTCTTGAGAGCGAGTTGGAAAGTTGACTATTTGTGTTAGATATTGAGAAAGGCAAAAGTTGTGGGCTTCAATGTCTGTATCACTAATATCTTTCTCTGACACTAGAGCCGAGTTATTTAGTGTGATGAGCATAAAAGTCACCAATAACAACGATATTGATCAGAAATAACATCAAAAAAAGTGCAGTTTTGAGATGAAGGAGAGCGATAAAGAACAAAGGGTGAAGAAAAAATATAGAGTGAAGTAGTGCTAAACGAAAGCACATTAAATAATAGTCTAAGACTAAGATCATAGGATGAGAGAGCTGAAATCAACTTGTCTTACAAAGAGCAAGTAGGTCTGGTGAACTTTGCAAGAGATAAAACTCAAAAGTAGAAAAATTACTTTGAAGACCAGTGAATGATAGATTTAGAGAACTTGGTGATGGTTTTTTGTGTTTTATAGTTTTTGATACTTAAAAAAAAAATTTGTTTTGTTTTGTTTCAGAGTATACATTCTTTTAACAAAAGAATTTTGAGCAAAAAAAAAAAATTGTTCCTCAGTTTCAGAATTATTTCATGCCTTATATAAAGTTTCAAAATATGATATCATGTCAGCATAAAAACTTTTGCTATGCTACTTTGTAATTTTTTATATTTATTCACCAGACACCGTTAAGAAAGTCATAGCGCAATATTTTGCTTAAACTACAGTATGATTTCTGCGGATGCCATAGCTTTCAATGAAGCTGAAGGAGCAACAAAAATACAAAAATTAGATGAACAAGTTGCAAAGATATATATATTTTTGCATTTTTGTCTCTATACATGTGTATTTAGTGTATTTAGTGTTTGTGTATATTTTTGTCTACTTTTTATTTTTTAGTAATTAAAAATAAAATATAACTAATAATAAGCAACACATTGTATCATGGCAACATTTCATACTCGCAGTAAAACTGACAACTTAACATTTGGACAAGGTTCTAAATTTCCAACTGCAATGATTTCTACAAAAAGAGATGTTGTGAAATATTGCTATTATGTTCGCAGAAATGAAGATGCTAAAGGCAAATTGAAAGCTTTTGACAACATGTTTGATATATGTTCATGCAATTGTTATGATTTAGGAGTAGAAAGAGAGAAATGCAGATGTACTTCTAAAGTGCCAATAAAGAGTAGAATGTGTTTGTTGGGCAAAAGAAACGCACAAATCAACTTGGACTACTTGATCGTGCCTACACATCTACTTTAAAGAAAACTGAAACTAGAAAAAAAAAATTGTAACAAGGCAAAAACAGTTAAACACACCTAAAAATGTTGAGAAAGAGATTGATAGACAAATAACCGATGAGAATTTTTATGAATCTGAAGATAATGTCATATTAGATGAATTTAATAATGAATATGACAAGCTATATGACTGATGTCATAAAAAAATGTAATCAAAATAGGTTTCATTACATGAACTAGAAATCATAGCAGATCGTTATCGTGTCAGTTGCAGAGCAACTGCTGCTATTGTCAATGCTGCTCTAAAAGACATGGGTATACATGAATATACCCTCAACATTACTGAATAATGAATCAAATATGCTTGATAGGAAAAAAGTAGAAAGAGAAAGACTTGTTGGACAAAAAATGTAAATGAGAGAAAATGCGAAAACTTGAAATTACAATGTATTGGTTTTGATGGAAGAAAAGATAATACAATAACAACTGCAGGGATAATTAAAGAAGAATTGTTAGAGAGCCAAGCAGCAGCTATATAGATCATATAACACCTGATAATGGAACTTCTCGCTGCATTGCTAATGAAAATCTCCATTTAATATTTGAAACTGGCAGCAGCGGTTCTTCAAATGCTCCCTTATGCGACGCGACTGTATTAAATACTGGAAAATTTGGAGGGGTGATAAAATTAATTGAAACAGAACTCGAAAGACCAATGCAGTGGCTCATTTGTCAGCTACATTTAAATGAACTTCTCTTTAAACATGTATTTGAGTTGATTGATGGAAAAACTTCTGGCCCTGGATCATTTAAAGGAGAAATTGGTAAAAAAATAACAGAGGATTTAACTAATTTAGCAGTAGTTCCTTTCAAAAAAATCAATGGTTCTTTTCATTCATTTCCAGATAATATCTTTAGTGAATTAAGTTCAGATCAAAAATACCTTTACAGTATCTGTTTATCTATTCAATCAGAAAATGTTTCAAATGAAATATGTAAAAGTTCTCCCGGAAACATTCGTCATGCCCGGTGGCTCACAAGAGCAAATCGTATTCTACGCTTATACATTTCTACAGAAAAGTCAACAAAAGAACTTATTGACTTGGTTGCAATAATAATGCAATGCTATGCACCAGGATGGTTCCAAATCAAATCAAATTATTTGGCAGTTAATGGCGCTCAAAATTTTTGGTATCTTGCTCAATTAATTAAAAATGCAGTTATTGATGTAAAATACAAGGAAGTAATGGAGCAAGTTTTGAAGCAAAACTCGTATTTTTCTAACCCAGAGAATATTTTATTGGCGATGATAAGTGATGAAAGAAAACAAGTTAGAACTACAGCCGTTCAAAGGATACTTAAATCCAGGAACACTAGCGAATCCAATAGACATTTTAAACTTCCTACAACATTAAATCTTGGAGCCAAAGATTACTGTGAATTAATAAATTGAGACATCGAAGAAGTTCATTCGCCACTTTAACTGAATGATTATTCAAACAAAGATAATATGAAAGCAATGATAGTCCATTAAGTATCCCAAAGTATTCTTGTCATAGTCAGAATATGGAAAGAATAGTTGGAGTAGTCACAAAGACATCAGAAAATAGATATGGCTATGAAAAACGTCACAAATTTGTAATAAACCTGTTGGAGTCGAGGGAAAAAATGCCTAAATTTGATTGAAAAGCGCAATGGAAATAAGACATTATAAAAATATACATTTTTTTATAGCCTATAAAAACTTTTAATTCTATTTTTTTTTTATTTTTAAAAGTTTTGTTTCTTTGCATAAAAATGTTAATATATGAACAGAAAGCATTTTAAAGTATAATAATAATAATAATAATAATAATAATAATAATAATAATAATAATAATAATAATAGTAGTAGTGTGTATATATATATATATATATATATATATATATATATATATATATATATATATATATATATATATATATATATATACATACATATATATATACATACATATATATATATATATATATATATATATATATATATATATATATATATATATATATATATATATATATATATATTATTCTTTTGTAAAAATTATTTAATATAAGGATAGGTTTAGCGAATTGCTTCTTTTTAGGAGGTATTATACAACATCATTGTACCAATAAAGACATTAATCATGCAGTACAATTGATTGGGTACAACTTGGATGATGGTTTAGTACCGTATTTTGTTGTTCGCAATCAATGGGGTCCATTATTTGGCGAAGATGGTTATCTTCGAATAAAATATGGCGGTAATATCTGTGGTAAATCGAATCTTCTGAATGAATGACCTTTAATTCACATTGAAGTTATTCACATTGTTATAAATGGCTTTAGTAACTGTTAAACAGTTAATTATTGGGTTTAAATTGTTAAGAGTATAAACAAGAATCAATGAAAGAGAAGATTTTTGAAAAGCTTGATAAATTTTATCAGCGATAAAATGTATTACAGCTGTTTCAGAATTTTCCTATTGGTTTCAAAAAAAGAAAAAAGTATACACAAAATTATTGTATATGGGATCGTCCATAAATTACGTAACGCTAAATTTAACTAATAGACAAAACTCAAAAAAAAAAAAATAAAGATCAACTGTTTTCCCTTTCAGAGTCTTTAATTAAATCAAGTATATAAAAATAAATAGTTATAACATATTTTTAATGAATAAGTTTTCTGAATGTATATATAAAAATATATATAGTATAATTTTTAAAAATGAATTTAAATATTTCTGATTAGAATTAATATTATAAATAGAATTAATTAAAAATATTTTGAATTAATTTAAATTAATGTAATACTTATTTTCCTTTGATACATCAAATGTAGTGATCATTAATATGTATGTAATAATAGATTTTTCTTTTTGGGGTTTAGAATTAATTATTTAAAATTTAATTTTCAGTTTAAAAAATTGTTAACAATAACTGTAAATTTTAGTAATTTTAACTTATCAATTTAATCCTAATTTTAATTTTGATTTGCTTATGATGATGCGAATCTCCTTCAGCTTGTTTAATATTATAATTTATTGAAATGTTTTATGTTCTTTTTTATATAGGTGTTGCAGAGCAGTCTTCGTTTATAGTTGTTTGATCTAAGCCTTCGTTTATTGTTGCTTGATCTTTTCCCCTTACAGTTTTATAAGTTTTAAAAGTTATATATATATATATATATATATATATATATATATATATATATATATATATATATATATATATATATATATAATTAAAGAAATTATAAAAAAAAAATGATAACGTAAAAAACAAACAAAAAAATTTAAGTAAAAACTAATTTTTTTGGCGTAATCTTATTAATTTAATATAAATAAAAGATTTTTCCAATAATATTGTAGACTTAGACAATTTGTTTGAAAATTCTTTAAATCAATTATTTTTAAGATATACAATAATTGCCAACTTTGCGTGTTTTTTTTTTTTTAAAGAGATTTTTTTGCTATTTAATTTTATTCACGGCATAGCCCTATATCAGTAAAATCATTATTAAATAGATCATTATTAAAGTTGTATAAAATAACACTAAATGTAAAAGTTATTATTATATTAAATTTAGTTTGATATATTTAAATGTGAATACAACTTTTTTTATCAGTAAATAATTGAATCAAAAAAATTTTTTTTTTTTTTTTGTTTAACAGAAAGTAAATTGTGGGGACCTTTGTTTTGTTCAACGGAAGGTAAATTGTGCGACCTTTGTAGTGATTCGTATAACGGAAAGTAAACTGTGGGGGCTTTTGTAGTGATTTATTCAATGAAGGTAAATTGTGGGGGAATCATACTAATGCATGTTTTTTTATTTTACTTTTCTAGAAAGTTACTCCAAACTGAATTTCCAAAATTGAAAAAAATCCTCGTATTTATCAATGGAAGAAATTTTTTATGGTATTGCTTATGAAATTGCAAAACAACAGTTTATTTCTAACACCTAGTGTAAAGAGCCTATAATTTGTTTTTAATTTTAAAGCTATAGAACTATGATTCGGTAGAGGTTGGTCTGCATTCTCGATACAAAGATAGTTTGATACAAAGCTCAATTTATTCTCGATACAAAGATAGTTTGATACAAAGCTTATTGGATAAAAAAACTGCGAGAATAACAAGTATTTCATTTGTGCAAGATTTTAGGCTAGACGTTTAAAGAAACTGCCAAACTTAGGTTCAAAACCTTACGCAAGACTTGATCAACAACGAGAAGATGCTTTAATGAACTATAGTCTGAATGTTGATACGGTTAGTGGTAGCAATAAATTCAGTGATAGTGAAGAGGACTCAACATTAGTAAAACAAGAATATTAAACTAAATAGCTTGATAATGATAATGCTGCCGTTGCCTCTATTAGATTTGATTTATCATCAACCGCTACTGCTGCTATCATTAATGGTCTAGTGGATGAAATTATGAAGGCAGGAAAACTTATTGAAGATAAAAAAAAAATCTCATGTGTGATAACATAAAAATTATTCGTGTCTAAGAACGTGCTATGAAGTATACCAGAGAAGAGGAAACTATTTGATAATGTTTCTTTCACACTAGACTGTGAAAAAAATATAATCACTAAAAAAAACTTCACTTACTTTTTACAAAAATGAAAATTTTATTTTTTCTACCATCAATAAAAATATTGATGAAAAAATATAATTTTAATTTTTGTAAAAAGTAAGACCACAGAAAAGTTCAGAAAAAAAGTTATGAATAAAAAATTATATAGCCAAAACAAGGTGGCTTTGAGGTCGCCACCTTGCTTTTCATACACCAGAGCCTAAATTAGAAATATCTAAACCAACCATGGGCGCCCGCAGGATTTTTTGACGTTTCAGATAGGACACTTCCGCACATTGTGCAAACTCCAAAAGTTAAGTAGTTTCATACCTATGCCAAATGAGGAAGCCTTGCAAAAATTTGGGACGGCGGAGGCCTGGGTACAAAAAAGCCCTAAAATGTTTGCACCCCCTGCCTAAACGCGAGGACACTGATATCCTGCGGGCGCCCATGAAACCAACCATGCAATGTCCTGTTGATTTATTTAACTATTTAATAGAAAGAGGTAAAGACCTTAATCTCTTACTAATTGGCAGTGATACTTAAAATTGTGTCTGAGTGGAAAGGTGAAATGCTTCATTTTGTGGAAGTACTTCTCAATCGAAAACATTTTAGATTTTTTTGCTGGTTTCACATTAATCAAATAAAGAACGGTGTGGGTCAATTGGTAAACTATTTTCGAATGTTAATAATCTTAAATGAGCTTTGTCCATCCCAACCACAACTGAGTCAGTTTGTGGTTTGGATGAAAAAAGAGATCGTTTTATACAAACACAATTGAAAAAATTGCCAAATAATGACTTTGTTAAAATCAAAAAAAGACTATATTTAAGTGATCAATGCTAAAAATAATTTAAAAATCACTTGTTTTCATACAGAATGATTTTATCAGTCAGTAACACTTTTTTATCAGTCAGTAACACTTTTTTATCAGTCAGTAACACTTTTTTATCAGTCAGTAACACATTTTTATCAGTCAGTAACACTTTTTTATCAGTCAGTAACACTTTTTTATTAATTTAATATTATTTGTCGCTTATTTGTTTTATCTTTGTGCTTGTTAAATTTATTTATTTTTTATCATTTTTTTTTTCTACCATGCACAATGAATTGTCTTCGACAAGTTAGATGCGCAAAAATATTTTGTTCTGCGATTTGATTGCTAAAATGATAATATTATGGTGTTTTATTGATTAGTTATGTATTTTTGAAATATTTTTGAATTTTACTATTAAAAAAAATTAATACATAGTAAAAATAAATACTTAATTTCAATACCTCATAGGTTATGTTACAAAAATTTTGCGTATAATAAATAAGTTTCAAATTATACTTAATATAATGTTTGCTGATAATGTTAAATAAAATATTATATTATTAACAATCATCATTTGGTAGATTGTTATATTCACTATCCGACGAACCGGACTCTAAGTAATCTTTATCATCACACTTAATTTTGTTGCCTCTGAACGTTGTTGGACACTAAATTTGTCCACATCAATTCTAACTTTTTACTTTTATTATATCTAAACAATAGCTAATGTATAGCATGCACTCATAAAAACGAATCTACGCTTGCAAAGTGAACAAACTAAAACAATATTTTTTTTACATCTTTTTTTTTACTGTTTTAGGAGTCGCACAACATGTAACTTTTTTTTGTTGAGAACGTATGCTAGTCAAGAGATTGCACACTTTTCCATCTATCATTGAGAGCAGGAGGCTGAATAAGTGCGAAATGTGCAAAGAGTTGCAAAAACTGGCATAAGTACGCCAAAATTATATGCAAAGAACATATGCCAGTTTTTGTAACAGCTTCGCACTTATGCCAGTTCGCACTTATTCTAATTCGCACTTATGCCAGTTTGCATTTATGAAATTCGCGCTTATTCAGTCGTCCCATTGAAAGAATAACGTCATGTTTAGTAGTTATTTGCTGTTCGTCATGTCATAAATATGTTGGATTAAGCTTTTTTAAAACTTAGTTTCTGCTGTAGTAAACACATTTGTTTCTTTTGAAAAAATAAACTTAATAGGTCGGCATTAAAGTGTAGATGATTGCCGCGGATTTTGCCAAATATTTGGCCCTCACTCAATCTCAATAGAACAAAAGGAAATAAAAACAGAAACTCATAAGTAGCATCAAAGTTTATAATTGTTGTTTATAAGTGTTGTAACCGGAGCTCCCATCACAACTTCATTTTCTAATTAATGTGAATGGCGTAGAAAATGTAACATTTTTTAAAACTTGTCATTGGGCTTGAATTTGGCGCTCAGTAATTTTATCAAATACGGTTTGTTTTTGGTAAGTAAGTTAATTTTGGATCAGGTTTCTCTAACAGAAATATGTTCGTCTAACGTATAACATATATATATATATATATATATATATATATATATATATATATATATATATATATATATATATATATATATATATATATATATATATATATATATATATATATATATATATATATATATATATATATATATATATATATATATCATCAGGAAAAAAAATTTTTTTTCTGATGAGTCTTTGTTGATGAAACACAGTGTAAAATGAAAAATTTTTGTTAAGTGGTTTTCTACTAATTTATAATTGCTCTGGTCTTTTAAGAACATTGAGCACTCCATTATTATTGTTTAAATATATATATATATATATATATATATATATATATATATATATATATATATATATATATATATATATATATATATATATATATATGAAATCAGGAAACAAACGCGGAAAAAAACAAGAAATGTCAACAAAATTTGATATATTATTTAATGTATTTTTAAATGTTATATATTCATGTTGTCATTTTTTCAGTTATTTTTTGTAATTCGGTAATGATGAACACATGGCGTGTCTCCAAGACCGTTTGGAACAAGTGCAAAATAAAAGAATTCATTAATTTTTTTTTACCAACTGTAAATATGTTTATAAAAACTTCTGATGAACAAGGTATTTTTAAATATTTATTTGATGTTTTAATAGTTCATAGTTTTAAAACTCAAAATCTCTGACGTGATCTCGGTTTTGGATTTTAAAGTCTTTATTTTTGCCTTTAAATCTAAATTCTTTGTCTTGATCTTTAAATTTCATGTTTTTAGAAAAGTATACGTTTAAAAAAATATAGATATATAAATAAAACATCAATCTTGTTCTTAATTAAATAGAAACATAAATTGAAAATATATATTTTATAAAAGAAGTAGACATAATTATGCGTAGGAAACTTAAAATGCATGAGCATAAATATTCCCTAATCGAAATTAGGAATATTTATGTCGATGCATTTAACAAAACATATTGTTTGCAATTTGCAAACAATATGTTTTGTTAAATATACAAATTTTCAGAATTTTCCATATTTTATACTTTTTATTCCAAATAATAATTTAATGCATCCTTCTTTTCGAAATCATTATTTTTAGTTTATTAACATATTATTTGAGTGAGCAAGGAGTTTTAGTTCCTTTAGAATAACATAATAAACTTCTTTAAAATAACAAGTTAATCTTTCAAATATAAGATTTCCACTTCTGGCATTTCTACATTATAGTTTAAAGGTTGAAAATCAATCATTTTATTTTC